ACTCTACCAAATAATGTGTCATCAACTGTATTTTCCATTCGCAATTCCTTATGGAATGACCTGAGACTTTGTTTACCGGCTAGAGATTACAGTTCCATAATAAGAACTCTTCCAAAGAAGACAGAAAATTCAGCCTCCTCTATTGGCCAAAAACAATCTCCAAAACACAACATTTAAGGTAAAGGAACAATTTAGAAAATACTTCTTTTACAAAAAAGAAGAAATCAGATGTAGTTCCTAAACATGGCTTTTCATATTAGGGAAATTTTCTCACGTGTTCACCAGAAATTCTGCAGAAGAGAAATGAGACTCATGTAAGCAACTAATTGTCCATATTGTCCCTTAAAATCATCTCGACCAAAAACAGTGAATATCAAATCTTCTGGTGGTTAAAATAAGGTCCTACCAACACTCCCTCAACTTGCTAATGCTGGGAAATAGTTGTTAGCATTGTATTTGTGATAATTCAGTTGTCCTCAGCAGCATGTCAAGATGTCATAAATAGTGATTTATTATTTCTCTGGAGTATCAAAAAGCTGCTGACCTAGGAGAGTTTGACAAAGGCCTTGTTTACAAAGGAGGACTTCTAAAGCAGAAAAAAGAACCATGAAAACACTAGAGGACAGCATCATTTTTATTATTTATGAAAGTCTTCTTTTTTATGGTCTTGTTCCAATATATAACAAGGCTTTAAAATAAAATGTCAAAATATTACCATAATATAATGGGTATAACAATTACCTTCTAGAAAAGATTGCTTGTAGAATGACTTATCTTAATCAAAGAAAATAAGTTTTAAATAATTATCTGCATAAGTATTACTTTCAAGATATACCGTCTCAGGAATACTTTAAACAGAATTCAGGCATTAACAATATAATACAAGCAGAGGCACTTTTTTTTTTTTTTTGGTCAATTCTAAGCCTCAGGTGTTGGTCAAAGCACTTTTCAAGAAACTTGACAAGAAATGCTCAAAAACCACTTTACAAATGAACAAAAGAAAAGATCTAAGGCTGCTTTGAACATGCTCTTGTGGTGAATATTTTCTGTGAAACATCACAGTGCAGCTAGTCCGATGCTGAGCTGTAGCTGGTATCACTCATAAGAGAAAGGCTGCATTGAAGGAAGCCCTCCTTCACCTCGCCTCCTCAAGGGTTCTGATACCCCAAACTCCTGATTTATTTTAAATATTCTTGACTAATATGGCATCTCTCTTTAATGATCTACAGGGCTATTGTGTGTGGTTTTTATTCCTTTCAGTCTATTTCAATGAGTATCTTCTGGACCTAACAGGTGTCTCTAAATCCCCTTTTTCCAACAGCAGACATTTGAGTTGTAAGAGACACTTTAAAAAAAAGAAGAAGAAAGAAAATCCATGAGAATAAAAGGGCAATTAGATTCCTAAAAGAGAAAGTGTGTCCAATTTGCATAACAATGCACCAACTAGGATTCAGACCTGCCACACCTCTTAACACTTCTCCAGCGTGCTAGAAGTAGCCTGGAAGTCCAACAAGTCTGGTGTTGGCCAACAAGCTTCGGGTAGCGGCCCCCCAAATAACTGGTGGGATATATTACGGAAAACATTTGTACGTAAATATATGAACACACACACACACACACACACACACACACACACAACATCGGTTATGACGGCTTTTTTTTAGTAGCATCCTCAGTGATTTCTGAGTCTTAGGTAGTTGGACAGGAATTTTCTGTTACTCAGCACCCAAGCAACAATCTCACTATTCACACAAGCATTCTGTTCTTATAAGCGAGGCATACAACCAGGTGTAAACTGAAAAAGTCCTTTGAAATGGAAGTTTGAAATTTAACTCTGCTATCGGTAACGCATAAACCTTAAAAATAACCAGTCAATGCAGGAAACAAACGTGTATCCTTAATGTCTTCCTTGTACTCTAACATTACACATACAAAGGAATACATGCCTACATAATGACCAGAAAGGAGACAATGATGACACCTCTCCAAAAAATTATTAACCCGAGTCGCTTTGCTTTTTCCAAAGTACCAACCTCCATCAGGTTAGTGAGGAGGTAGAAAAGGCGATAACCTTGCAAAACTCTCCCAAAAGTTATATAAACAAAGGAGAGGAGAAGCCCAGTATGGGCTTTGCACCCATGTGCTACTAAAATTACATAACACCCGGTGCAGACATTGAATAAGGAATGGATTCTGCACAACACCCCCACTCCCTCGACTTCCAAGCCTTCCTCCCTCCCTTAAAAAAATCCAAACGCCTGGCAAGAGCGAGTGGACGACGTCGAATATTTATATTATTGCCGGAGTAAATCCTGCGAGAGTTGGAGGTACGTTTAGGCCCGAAGTTTGAATGTGCAACAGCCCCAAGGCGCTGCGACTCACACTCTCCGGACCCGGAGGAGAAAGAACTGACAAGCGACAGCAGCCAGCAAGGCCTTCTTCCTCCCCCTTACGGTGCCTCCCGCTGGAAAGTTTTCCACGCAATCGATCGGAGGACAAGGAGCCCATTTCCCCCGCCTGCCTGACTTTGCAGGAAAGGCGAGCTGGGAGACCGGAGGGGGCTGGCAGGGAAAGAGCTGGAAAGCCCCGCACACAGCGGGCGGCGGCGGCGGCGACGCAGGCTCCTTACCTGGGGGATGCGGAACAAAAAGGGGCGCGGGGCTCGTGGAGCGTGGGGTGGCTGCACGGCCGGCGGCCGGGAGCGGGTCTCCGCGCCGCAGCCCTAGGCCAGCGCCCGAGCCCGCGGCCCGACCCCCGCCGCCGCCGCTTCCTCCCTCGCGCGCGTCATGTCACGGCGATCAAACATGTCTGTGTGCGCTTCGCCGCTGTGACTTCCTGATTCTCCGCCGCTCGCGCGCGCACACACATACACTCACACTCACAGCCACACGCACGCACCGCCCCCAGCAGCCCTCGCCACCGAACCTCGCTTGGTCCTCCCCGGGCTCCTGGCGAGGGTGCGGGCAGGAGGGACTGACCGAGCCGCTGCTCCCGACGCACTGTCCCCGGCGCGCACAACACACTCACACTCACGCGCAGACACACTCACGCCGGCCGGGAGGGCGCGGAGACGCGAGCTGCGGGAGCTCGCCGCCCCCTCCCACCCCTCCACCCTACTTAGCCGCCCTGCCAAACTTTTTTTTCCTTCCTGATACACGTCCAACTTCCCTCCACCCCACCCCGCCCCCCCAAGCAGCCCAGCCAGCCCCGCGCTCACCACCATCCGCAGCAAACAGCAACCCGGATAAAAATAATAATGCAATCCAGGCGGCGGAGGCGGAGGCGAGCGAGCAGACACTGGCAGGAGGCGATTTCCCCGCGTGTACCGGAAACCGGCCCGAGTGCCCCGGCCAGGGCGCGGGTGTCCCCTGGAGCCCGCACTGCTGCGCCCCGCCCCGTGCGATGCAATTGCGCCCAAGCTGCGAGGCCTGGTGCGGGGCACCCGGGGCACTGTGCTCGGCGTGCGCCCTGTGGCCGGAGGGTGGCTAGGGGCTGGCTCGCCGGACCGGTTATTTGGGGAAGTGCATCGCGACACCTTTGTAGATGGCATGGCCGTGTTTTGCAACGCAAACGGGAGGAGGGAAGGCGGCCGGATGGAGGGGGAGAGCAAAGGATAGGGTAAACCAGGTTGGGATGGGAATAAAGCAAACTCGAAAGCAGGGAGCGAGAAGGAAGGGGTGCGTGTCATCGTTGGGAGGAGGCTCCTACTCGGTCTCCCCGCCTCCCGCCCTCGCTACCCTCCCCTATTCCCTCCCCACCGCAGCCCTTCCCCTTCCCAGGCGAACGCCACTGCCGCTGCCCGGGTGCGCGCGGGTCCTGTTTGTGACAGTCAGGCAGAGAGGATTATCCGGATCATGGCCTCCCGGGCCCGCAGCCGCCGTGGTTCTCCCGGGTCCCAGAGCGCCCCTAGCACCCGGACGATCTCAGGCGCCCCACGCCCGCGACGCCCGCGGCGCTAGCCTAGGGAAGACGCGAAGCAAAAGAAAACAAACCCAGGGAGGGGGAGGGCAGGGTAACGGAGCTCAGGGAGCACCTCCGACCTCCTTCTTTGGGGCCTCCTCCCTCTCCCCCAGCACTGCGGCCCGGGCCGGACACCACGAACTTCAACACCCGAGCCTGCGCCGCCGCCAGGTACCAGCGACAGGGACGTCCGCAGCGCCCCGGGCGCAGCCCCTGGCAGCCCCTTTGCCCAAAGGCCTGCCTACCGATCAGTGTCCCCATCCCCGCTGGAGGGAACGCGGAAAGTGAGGTGACACCTCCGATCCGGCACGCACCGTCCCCGCGGCAGTGGCTGCCGCCTACCCAGCGCATCAGCTTGGGCTTCTCCCGCCGCGATCCGCTCGCGTCCCCGCAGCCGGAGCTCTTTAAACAAGTCCCCGGGAAGCGGGTGGCAGCAGCGTTCGCTGGCGCCCTGCCGCCAGCCCGAGCTCCTCGCCCTCCTTTCCCGTTCCCCTTCCAACTCTTCTGGGGAGGATTGCTCGGGATGAACAGTAGCATTTCCATCCTCCTCCCCTGTCCCCCAGCCTTCCCCCTCCTTCTGCCACCCCCACCCCTCGCTTTTAAGGGGATGGGGGGATTGCAACCTGGAGGAATATGTGTGTTGCAACCTTGAGTTTGCAGCGCATCGCTGACTGCCTACCCAGGGTCAAGGCTATGGTTTGTTGGGATTTTTCCCCCTTTGCCCCCTTGAAGTAGTAATTATTACTGTTATTATTAGAACAGCAAGGTTCAGCTGAAACTTTCTCGTTTCTTCCACCGCCGCCTGGGAGCTGTCGTTAGAGCATTCCACCTGAGGCCCGCGGGGAGGAGGCGGGCTTTTTGTTGTGGCGGTTGGCCCGCCTGTTTGTTTTGGTCTCCGTGCATGCACAATAAATAATAATTAGGATAATAATGAATAATCCCGGGCGAAGGCGGCGCGGTGCCGGAGGGGTTTGTGCCGCGGCTACAGCCGGGAGGCCGATGGGAGGGGAGAGGAGAAAGGAGTTGTAAGTTATATTTACCTTGCTCGCGAGGAGTGTGCTGGCTGAATCTCTTCCCTCTCTGAGTCACCCAGAGTACAGAAACAGAGGGAGAGAGGACTAGATTATGAATATGACTTCATTGATGACAGCCATCCCCTCCTCTTCCTAAACTCGGGCTCCGCCCCGCGTCCCACCTTCGCCGCCTCCACCGGCGCCGGAAGACGCGCCGCAGTTGGCCGCGCGCGCCGCTCCTCCCTGCCCGCCCGGGCGCGGGTTGGCGGGACGCGCCTGTCACTCGCCCCGCTCAGCGACTCCGGGAGCGCGGGGGGAGGAGGGGGCGGTGTGCAAGAATGTGGATCGAGACGGCTCTACTGTATGCGTGGAACGGTGTGTGTCTGCAAGGCGCCGGCTCTCGGGCCGTGTTTGTGCCTGGAGCAGAGAAACTGCGCAGGACGCAGAAAGCCCCGAGCCCTGCTGGAGTTAGGCGCCCGTTATCCCTTCCCCGGCCGTCCTCCTCCCGCCGCTGCGGGACTCCTCGGGGGAGGCTGGGCAAGAGGAGGAGGCAACGCAAAAAGGGAGGGCAGCCGTAGTAATAGCGCGTAGTAGTTTGGGGATATGTGGAGAAGGTGCTGGAATTTAACTGTGCCTCCGCCTGCCAGTGAGAGCCTGCAGAGAGAAAGGGAGGGAACAGAGGGAGGGCTCCGAGTGGCACCAAAGCTGTTTGCTACACAGTGTTGACTATGGAAAAAACAGGCATTGTCGTGCCGGTTGAAACTTTTTCTCCCCCCTGCCAAAGGCTGTCATTATAAATCTGCCCCCTTTTTCCCAGTAAAAAGGAAGGCGGGCACAAAGAACGTTCCTGCCAAATTTGTCTCTTCTCTAAAGGACTGCAAGCTTCCAAATGCCAGTGAAGGAGAAACAGCTGAGAGGCTGAACGCCTTATAAATAAATAAGCCAGTCCTAACCCCTCTGTTTACTTCGTGGACCAGACAGCACTTTAACCTTCCCTCGCATGTCATCCTCACGTAAACCATATACCAAAATATGAGAGAACAGCCCCGTGGGGCCGGACGGGCGGCTAGAGGGTAGGTGAAGTATGGAATCTGCCTTTGATGTAAGAAGGGGAGTAAATCTCTTATTCTCTACAGACCGTAGTTTCTTCCCTCCCACCCCACATTTAAGACCAATTAAGGTTACAAACTGTAATCTGCTGGCACGTCACGGTTTTGAGACCTCTTGCTCCAATTTTCCTTGAAATACAGTACTTTGGCGGAACCAATAGGTCAGTGTTTGGTGAGACAATTTTATTGTTAGTTTTATGAAGTGTTTGAAAGAATGTTAGGAGATTTTAAATCAGGGGTCTATTATTGTAGACTCAGATTAATGTAGGTGCTTGACTCTTAAAATTAAAACTCTTCCTACGTGGTAGTGTTATGAAAAGTATGATTTATCCCTTATTTTGTCATGCAATGGTTTAAATTAATCATTCAAAGTGCCCTGTGACTACCTGGTTGAGGATTTTTCCTCCTAGAGTAAAATCCTATTTTAAGACTATTTTACTGTTGCAAAATTGATTTTATTTGAGCGACCGCAGCTGAAATGCTGTTATAGGATGCTTAAAACTGCAGGCTGGATACAGTGAAGACAAGAAGCAGTGGAAAGAACACCAAATACTGCATGTGGTCATTAAGTAGCAAGAATTGTTTACACGGCTGGTCCACTGCTGGCTGAAGCGGAGCCTGCAAAGGCACCATTTTCACAACGGCCAGGCGGTTAGTGAGGGTGGTTAGTGAGCACCCATCCACACTACAGTTTTCTAAGATCTTGTTATTTGCTTGTTGACTTAAGTTTCATCATTTTCCATCTATCCCAAAGTGAAGCTCAAGACAACAAAAGATAGCACATGGAAGAGAAAATACAATATAGTATGCTATGAAGAATCTGTTGGGAACTTGTTTTTCTATCTGAGGGTATGACAATATAACTTAAGTGGGAAATACATAGTGAGAAATCTTAAACAAAATTTGTAGTGTAGTAAAAGTATGACATGAATACTAACTTCTAACTGCCTAATGAGTTGCAACTAAAAATATAGCCAGATACCCTAGTTGTCTATAATAAAGGGCTTTAACCTAATGGCAATGCTTATTACACAGAGTAGTATTAGGTTTTAATTTTTTAGGGCCTAATTTGTTTCCCTGGCATGCCAACCGTGCATGCCAATTTTCAGAAATTGATGACTTCACCTTTATTTTCTTGTGAGTAAATACCCTTTACCCACTTAAGATTCTTCCTCCACCTACCATGCCAAATTTCAAAAAGAGAACAATCATCTTAGTAAGTCACTGCAGGAAGAGACTGGTCATTCCTCCTGGCATTTTGTCGGAGGGAAAGTAAAGAAGACATTCCCTTTGTTATATGCTCATATAAAATTTTGATGCAGTACTTGGAGTGGTTGGTATCCATGTATTATATGCACAACTATGGGAATTGAAAAATAAAATCTATCATTGGGAGCAGAGATTAAATATAGATATTGCATCTCCCTCTCCCCTCCCATTGGTCAAAGAAAGCATCACCTTTTCCCTTCAGGTCTTTCCTCTGAAGAATCGTCTTGTTTGTAGTTTGCACTGCAGCAAGTAGGAATTTTATAAAATAAGGCCTAAACTCAGGAAAAATGAAAAGGTAACACCATTCGCTTTGTACAAAAAGAAGATTGTAGAACATCTAGCATGAGCTTCATCTCTGAGGTAAAGCAAAATTTAACAATTGATGTTAAGGAGGAAAGTGACGGGTTCTTTTGTTTTGCAGAAAATCACACAAAAGCAAATATGGTTAGAAGCTAAAAGGACTCCAGGAGGCTGCACAGAATGCTATATTCACACGAAGCTTTTCTTTTTGGACTTTGATGAGTCATAATGTGTTCTCTGAACTTGCTTTTCTCTTTCTAGTTTGGTATCAAGGGATAGAAGTCACTTTTTCATGTCTGTGTGGCCACATTCACTTGTTATGTAAGTCTGCTTTGGTTGATGTTCTGTATAGATAGTGGGTTTGAAAATTGATATCTAGTTACAATACCCTCATAAAGAAAAATTCCATGCACAAAGTTAGGAAGCTTCTAGTCCCAATAGACAAACTGTTAATGCTGACTGAAATGTTGTCTAGCTTCAAACAGGAGTAGGTAAGGCCATTTAGGGAAGGCGTACTTCATCTTCAGTAATGGAAACTAAACTTTGACAAATCGAATCAGCTGACATTTAATTTAATGAAGAGTTTAGAATTAGCAAGTAAACTGATTACAGAAATAAACACTCCTCTCTCTCCTTTTGTACAATGGGCATTCTCAATAGATTTTGTCTCTCCACAGCATTCCTTCAAAATACCACCTCCGTTCTCTTTGTGGTCATGCCACTCTCTGGTTTAAAATCCTTTGTTTATTCCTAATCCATTTTGTGATATATTTCAAACTTCTTAGCATGACATCCACGGCTGTGCATGGATAGGTCTCTACCAGCCTTCTTGATCTCCCCAAAATGCCTGGGTTCAGGCAACCTGGTCTACTTGTTGGTTCCTAGGGGGCCATATTGGACATAACTTCCCTCTAACTGAAATGCGGGTCCTCAGCTTGCATCCTCAAGTCTCAACTATGACCCAGCATCCTTCCAGAGGTCCTCTCTGCCCTCTCCAGGCAGAGGAAGCTGCTTGTCCTACTCTGCTCCCATAGCAACCAGTGTGTGTACCTCCATTATAGCACTTATCACTTTGATGCAATTATTTCTTGTATCCTCCACTAGATAGTTAGTGCCTGGAGGGTGTTTCAATTCATCTTTGAAACCTCAGCAATTAGCTGGATGCCTAGCATATTGTATGTTCTTTATATAAACACACACACACACACACACACACACACACACACACGACTTTGTTGAATGAAAAGATGAGAGATAGGTAATAAAATTTTCTGACATAGAGACTTTAGCAGATCCTCACTATTAGTAATTATCACATTAATGAACAAGATCACAAAGGGTTCAGGATCTTTACGTTATTTGCCAAGCTATAAGGGCTTGGAAAATATTTTTGGTTTTTATTTTGTTTTGTTTTGAGTAAAGAGAGAAAAATGGGAAGGTGAAGAGAAGCTACAGCTCTTACAGAAAGAGCATTGACAAGAAATTTGGTTTGTTTTAAAATTAGTGTAGGAGTAACATGAATGCATACACGGCAATTGTGTAATAAAGTAGTAATAGTTATAATAGTAGTTCCCTTTTATTTCTCCTTTAAATCACATGTCAGAAGCTGTGCAGAGACCTTTACATATGTTGTTTAATCCATTTAACCCTATGAGGTACCATTCCCCATTTTACAGATGAGGAAACTGAGAAGCAGTGAGTAATTTGCCTAAGGCAGAGTCTACAAAATGGAGTGAGCAAGACAATTCATTGTGATATAGGAAAAACATTAGAAATTCTATTTCTTTTTCCTCTAATGATTAAAAAAATGTAATGACATAAGGACAAAAAAAAAGAAGACCTTTGTATATGTTTATTACAGTCATTTACCCTAGAGTCTTCACATGATCCCTAAGTAAACTAGTCATGTGTCATGTATTGTACCTGAGGAATACTGAGAAACAGCAAGTGCCACACACCCTCTCTGTTTCTTTCATTGGCATTGGTATCTCTTTAGGCATTGACATTGCCTCAAGTTTACAGGTTCCGTGTTAAATGAATTCATAAGATATTATCTAGTTTTACCCAATCAACTCCTTATTTGGGAAGCAAGCGGCTTAAAAAGATTCCTACAAAGAAATTGGTACTGGTAATGCAAGCACAGGTAAAAATTAGGATGAAATTTGCCACTTTAACCTTTCAGAATTCTTTGCCAGCCATATTGAGAAGTAAAACAATGGCAATCTGATTAGATCTAACAAGAAATTGGCCAAAACATCTATAATTATCCAAGACTACTTGAAATTTTGATTTATATTAACTGTCATGAATGATGAATTCTGATCTAGGCATGTATTTGCTTTGACTATTAGCTATTGATAGTGTGATATCATGATTAGTAAGATAATTAAATTTTTCTATCATATTCGTTGCATTATTTCATAATTTCTATTTTATGTATGTTTTATAATACAGTTTATATGTTAGTACTGAACA